TGTAACAGGAACGCTGTGAATGCACAATGAAATTTATGAAGTGGTCATGTATATCATAGTTATATACAGTTTATTAAGTGGTCAAATGTGAAATATGTTACATTCTGGAATACACTTTCTTGGTAACATAAACATACCGAGATGAACAACAACCCCTGTCCATCAGCCACATTAACAGTTACGACCAACATAGGCTGCCGAGGATCTATTCCACTGGGTTCCAAATACAGAACGCTACAAACAGTGATGAAGCGGTAAGGAACGTGTGTCAGCACAGCGGCTCCTCAAGAGGCTTCATTAAGGCTACAGATGACACACCGATAAGGAGACTCTAGACAACCACTACAGCCCATTTCCTTATAACTGACATGCAGCAAATGACAACTGGGCATGTGTTTGTGGTGCTCACTGTGGAGGCTCCGGATGTAGATGGGTACCGGAATCTGCTAATTAAATGTTATTTCCTTGATGGACAGATTCCTTTCAGACCTCGCTGTAAAGACATGCTCGATCACAAGAATGTGATGACAGATTTATACAAGAAATCTTTTACGTGGGTCATCAACATGCCGTCGAAATCAATGTTGAATGCTATTTTCTGTGTCCAAATTGTAGAGATACTGTTAAAAACGTTCAGAGAAAAAATAGTGAAACCAAGTGCAGCCGTGGGCTGTCAAATGGCTAACGTGTGTCCTGAAGTATTGCTGAGGTCTGCCGCTAGCTCTGATTTTAAGCTTATTTGATCAAAGAATGTCAAATCCAGTGTCCATGTAGTTGTCACTTCAAGGTGACATTGTGATACTCTCCTGCATGACATTCAACAAAATCATCTGAACAAACCAACGAGTGTGGAAATTAGAGACAGAGAATCACGCGATGTCAAAGAAGGAGTGACAGAGAATCAAGTCAAGAACCTGTGTGACGGAGAATCGTGTTACAAGTTGCTGGCATCAATTTACAACTCCCTCCATTGTCTGTCTCCCGTGTTCCTGCAAGATAATGACAAGGGTTTACTCACCTGAACACGCATTACGATCTCCATGCCAACAACGGATTTTTGTGCCACCAGACCGGACAACAACGTATGAAAACAAAACTTTTAGCAAATCTGGGCCACGCTGTGGATCAGGAGATCCAGGGATATCATCAGCTTCTGTCAACACTCAAGATCAACTTCATCAATAGAGAATACAACCTGGCGCTCCTGAGCAAGGAGCGTCTGACAAATATGAGCTCCAAATCTATAATTATTCACAGCTTAAAATATTTCTACAAAGAAAACGTGCGATATCCAAGGAAATCACGGTTTTAAGTAACAGTTAAATATTTGCCATCTTATCTTCCACCAGAACATGATTAGTTAATACATTATGAACGGGGATGTTGGAATTTTATTCATTATCTTCTTGCCGCACTCAGCAATATTCCAGCTATATGGCAGCAGTCTGTAAATAATCGAGCCTCTACCAGACAATCCAGTACTAAACAGCATAAGCATCGATCTTCACAAGGACGGATCTTCACGGATTCACGTTAATGAACATTGACTTTCAAGAACAAAGCTATCATATAGTCACCACCGAAAAAGTAACGTTTAACATATATACGTCATACAAAGAGAAGCGGTGGCCCGTCGGTCTTGTTACAAAGGAAAATAGGAGCTTCATCTCGTTAGAAACCTCTCACTACGAGCAGAAGTTGCAGAAAACCAATTCCATCCCGGATCTTAACGGAGTCGGCAGTGTGGCGTGGCGAGTCAACGCTTTGAGAGTTTAAAGTGATATAATTTCGAACATAACTAACAAGTTCCACAGATCCACAGCCCTCCTTTATCTGTTGATGTGTGGAGCTTTCACAAACCTCCACCTGTAGCATCCGTGTAATGAAACGATGAACCTGCCTATAAACAAATAAAATCCTGAATTTAAGGAAATTGGAATTTTTCGAACTTTTCAGCATGATGACAGAACCATTTGATGAACACCGGGATTTCAAAAAAGAGAAGACACGCGAAAAGAAAAAGAGAAGAAAACCGCGGTTTTAAGTAACAGTTAAATTTCCTGATGGAAACAAATACGGGAACACATGAAAGTACAAGTGTTCTTATAAGCTTGTCCACGTTTTGAGTCAGATTTGAATGTTTATCATCAATATATGAATCGTGAATCAAGCTGTCAAAATCATATCTGACCGTACTCACTACTTAAATTCGGAATACAACGTCCTCCCTTCAGGCCGCCGCTACAAAGTTCCAATTGTGAAAACTAAGAGAGCCCGTACATCCTTTATTCCAAGTACCATATCTCTCTTAAACAAATGTGAAGATACCTAAATCAAAGAATTTATGTAAATATGTTTGGTATCTCTCTAATGTGTCAGTAGCTCTGCTGATGTAACACAAATTCCTGAAAAGGCATTAAAGTATTATTCTATTCTATTCTATTCTTCATATATTTTGTATTGCACCATGGGTGAAAATCTGACAACAGATATAGGAACACTTGTACTTCTTCAGTTCCCTTATTTGTTTTTATCAGCATCTTACGATCACTCGCCGATCCTGTTTTATTTTCCAGTATGTAGAAGAGATCTCTTTAAGCACAATCTTATTCAGAATCTATTCAGCAGCCTCAACCTGGTCTTTTCATAACGCAACAATATTAGAAGGTCACTGCTGTATATCCCCGACCACATATTTTACACAGGTGTATTATATATTGAGCCATTTCTTGAAACTAGTCAACCGCACTGTAGGCAAAGTCTCCACAATGTCACCTTTTGCAGATGATCCTGTTGATGAAACAATTAGTCGGTAGGCCAAAATTAGAATAAGAATTAAAATCAAAATAAAATTAAAATTAAAATTAAAATTAAAATTAAAATTAAAATTAAAATTAAAATTGATTAACAGACGTTTAGGGACAATGGAGATACAACTGGGTCTGAAGATGGAAATGAAAGGTATTTGCAATAAAAACAAAACTACACAACCCTACACGCGCACATACATACACACTACATCCACTCATCCCTCCATACACTAGCTCAATAGGCAGTGTCCTCGATCAATTGTTCCACAATGTATATCTCCAAAGCTGCCCAAACTGGTAAAATGTCTCGTCCATGTCCCAGGAAGACACTGATTTTCAGTTTCGTAATAGACTCACTGTTATTTGGATAAGGATAACAATTATATCAGAAGTTTCTCCATATCGGATGATTAATTCTTACACGATGGGCAAATGACAAGCGCGAACCCATGTCTGCTTGTGAACAGTTACAGCCGTACGTCCCTGACCTTGTATATCTGCATCGTTATCTGTGTATCATCCCAGGTTTTATCCATTGGCTAAATCCTGCAGAGAAACCTACCAATTATATGAAAAACACACGACAGGTTTGGACTATATGCATGAACTAAATCAGCGAGCCTGACTACCTAAACCCGTAAGTCGCCTCTTACGACTGGCATGGGTTGCTGGGCCTAGATTTTCGAAGCTCTCTTAGCGCTAAGATAGTCGTAAGTTAATGTTATTGTATGGCACTTACGACTCTCTTAGCGCTAAGAGAGCTTCGAAAATCTAGGCCCTAAAGACCAATTCCGACCTGGATCTGACAAAGTGGATCGACATATTCCCTCTTACCTACCACATATGTTTAGATGTTTTGGGTTTTGTTTTGTTTTTGTAGACGCGGCTTGTCTACAACCTGACCGGACAAAAGAAAGTAAACATATCAAACTGGATTTGACCTAAATATAAAATAAATATCAAAACATTAGTGGGATGAAACACTATAAAGGTGCAAGTCCATCTATGATTCTCGTTACATATGAAATACATCACCATCGAATAATCACGTCTTGTTTGTTTCATGATTAGCCACCATCAAACATAGATGTGTACTTTCTGTTAGTCCAACTTATTCATGTCTAAAATGGGGTGGTGGGGTAGCCTAGTGGTTAAAGCGTTGGCTCGTCACGCCGAGGACCCGGGTTCGAATCCCCACATGGGCACATTATGTGAAGCCCATTTCTGGTGTCCCCCGCCGTGATATTGCGGGAATATTGCTAAAGGCGGCGTAAAACCATACTCACTCACTCATGTCTATAATGGAGCCATAGGTACAACGTGTGAAGCCCATTTATATTGCTGGAATATCGCTAAAAGCGGCGTAAAACTAAAATCACTTACTTACTATAGTGGAGCCTATTTGAACAGGTTTCTCTGCAAGGTCGTGCGACTGCATTCATTAAAATGCATGATTTCCTGAATAAGGAAAAATACCTTCATTCTCCTGGAAGAACCCGGGGATGTCATCCATGATGCCATTAAGGCTGATAATTGCTTACCATTAATGGAAGCAATAAAGTGTGAGAGTGTTCTGTCTTGCCTCTGTAGAAAAAAAAAGTCCGACTGAAAGTGCTATCTGTAATGATGGGAGTGTGACGTACCTGTGTATTGGACATTAACGGCACATAGGGAATAGATGCACGTTGCCTGGACATTAAGGACGTTTCTGAAAACCAATTCCATCGATTTGTTAAATTGGAATAAATCGTGGAAAAGTCTGCGGAATCCCATGGAGTCGCCTGGTCGCGAGGGTAGCCTAGTGGTTAAAGTGTTCGCTCGTCATACCAAAGACCCGGTTCAATTCCCCACTTAGGTTCAATGTTTGTAGAAAATCTGATATTGCTTAAATATTGCGAAAGCTAAACCATTCATTAACAGCTGCCTGATAAACATAGACCTTTGGCAGAGAACCCGCCAGATACCAGCAGAAGATGAAATCAGAAGAATGAGATGGGGCTGGATTGGTCACACCCTAAGGAAACCCACACCCAACATCACCAGACAGGCTCTAACTTGGAATCCACAGGGGAAAAGAAGGAGAGGCAGGCCCAAAACTACCTGGCGACGTGACCTCGATGGTGATATACAGAAAAGTGGACCAAAGCCCAGAACAGGGGGATCTGGAGATCCGTAGTGGACGGCCTATTCCCCACGAGTGAGTGAGTGAGTGAGTGAGTGAGTGAGTGAGTGAGTGAGTGAGTGAGTGAGTGAGTGAGTGAGTGAGTGAGTGAGTGAGTAAAACCATACTCACTCACTCGTTAAATCATGTAATGAAGGTGAACTTAGAGCAGTTATTTTAGGTTTGGCAATGGTCGTTTGTTTGTTTGTGTCCATCACTCGGTTACGATGATACACAATCGGTAACACGCCTGACCATCTAATCCAGTTGGAAGCCTCGTAGGATCAGCATATGGCCATTCATTCTGACTAGGAATCCCCAAGGTCCCGTCGCTTCATTTTAGAGAATATTATCTCTATTTCCACCGGTTGTGTGAACACAAAAGGTAGCATTGTCTGGTGATAACAATAACTGTTTAAAACGAGGTTGTTTCACTTGTTTGAAAGTGTAAAGCAATATATTCCCCAGGTGCTACACAATGTTTTCTCCGGTCAAAGGCGGAAGAATACGAAACCCTCACTTGGCAAGTCTGTACAGCGCGTTACCCATCCACCTAATCTCCGCCACCTGAGTGTATTTTTTCAGGTGTGCTACGCTAGGGCCGTAATTAACCAAAATAACCAAAGATAAGAATATATTTATAAATTGGAAGTATTTTCACGTTGCCCCGATGAGGACGAGAACTTAAAGTTCTATTTCTGCCAATACAACGGACGTGTTCCTTTAAGAAGATGCTTTTGTGTTTTGTCTCCCCTACTTCTCAAGTTAATTAGGAGAGTCATCAAAATCTCTTTAAATCAACCTTCAAAAACCTTTGCAGTTTGATTGCTCGAAACCATTCAAAATGTGTTGCCTGATTAACTGTGTGGTTGTTAAAGCAACAGACGTATCGGAGATGCCAAGACCATCCCAATGAGTTTTATAAAGATTTGAGAGATACTTCGCCGATGACGATATGATACTGAAAAGGTAAAAGTTTAACGCCGTTTTAGCTTAAAGATGAAGTGCGGAAATATGACTTTCACAAAAGGTGAAAAACTACTGACACGCAGGATGTGTTATCATAACAAATCAAAGTTGGGTCTAAATATTGGTTCTTCGCCTGCCAGGCAAATGAAAATTACAACGCCCCATCAGGCTCAATCATTCAACATTGAACACAGCAGGTATTTTTGTTCCACTCACATCGTTATCTGAGAGTTTTTATAACGTATTAAGAGTCACTTTAATTCAGGAATCTGTTGAAAAATGTAATCTTTGGCAGTATCATGTCAATCTACAATATGAAAAGACATGATTTATGTTGTGTGTTGATGATTCAGACGTGGTAATTCAAGGATGTCAAAATGCAAAGATTAAAGTGATTTCAAATGGAAAAGAGAAAAGAGAAATTCACCTAAAGTGAGTAAGCTTGATTTAACCCCTTTTAACACTATTCAAGCAATACATCAACTACCAACACCAAGAGCTTTTAACAAATTTTGGAGATCCACATCCCCGTCATCCGACCTGTCTTACCCGATCTTTCCTTTGATGAAACTTTGCGTATGTTTTTGTCGGGTGTCACCGTTGGGGCAGGATACGCTCGCCTGATACGAACACCCGGTATCATCACTATTTGATAGTGGTTCATAAACACATGCTCTGTCATCGTATCTCATGGTGTCATTCACTGGATTGTCTGGTCCAGACTCGATTGTATACAAACAACATCGTACAGTTGTAATACTGCTGAAACAAATACATACCCATGAGATAGTCAGGATTATACAGTCGATTCTGCTTTTAGTAGATATTGCTTATGGATGTGGAAAGGGTTTTGTCCATTATATTTCATAGGTTTTACTATTTTTAACGCCACTCTCTAAAGTCTGGACAATTTCTGGTGTCCCCCGTCGTGATATTCCTTGAATATTGCTAAAAGTAAAATCATACTCACTCATCCACTCACACACTCAAGTCTGGACGATACAATGATTGATATCATGAACAACGAACCTTGCCGTCGGGTAGAAATACCTAAACGAAACAGAGTAACCCACATCCTCTTCTTTTAACATAGCTTATTGGAATCCGTGAAAGTTTTTTGATGAAAGCAAATCATATATTATTTTGGGTTCATTGCTTAAAGGAGTTTACAAAATCTGGATATTAATGCGAAAGCTAATTTAAGCTCAAAATCCAAGATGGCCGCCAAAATTTAACCGGGAACTGAAGAAGCTGCAATAGCCCGGAACAAAACAATGGTTTTGATATCAAACGACATGCATATTTGGTTAAGGAATATAAGTGATAATTTCAAAAGGGCATTTCTTGCTAAAACTAAGCAAATAAACGGGGATTTAAATGTTTCGAAAGCGTGAACAATATTCAACACTTATTGCACCATTTGTCTTTCCAAATAGAGCGCATGAAGGGCAGCATGACAGAAAGAATATTTCAGTGCGTAATACATGTGCTTATTTATAAAGCTATGTTAAATTAATCACATGACCTGCAAATACTCTACAGTTGCGTATCAATATATACTGAACAGCAAAAGAAACGCCAGTGTAAAAAAGAAGAAGAAATCTCATGGAAGTAAGCGCCCATGTTTATGGAACGTTCATGGTAAAGTGACGTAATGATCCCAGATGAGAAGATGTCATGCAATTTGACGTCCATACGAAACAGTCACACAAACACACCCACAGTGCAAAACCATAACTTTAGCACGTGCATCGACGGTTCTGGATGGAAAGCATGCATTTCACTCTGAGGTATCCTTTATAAAAGTTTGTGTCAAAAAACAGTTAAGTATTGACGCTAGGAAGTGTACACGCCACACAAACGATGCCTAGACTAACGACTGAGCAGAGGAGAATGACCATTGGAAAGTTCCACGGAGGTAGCTCTGCAACCGCTGTAGCTAGACAATTGGACTGTCATTTTTCCACCATTACACAACTTGCTCAACATCATCAGCAAACCGGGGTTGCTGCTGATCGTCTCCGTACCAGACTCATGCGCAAGATCCGTTCATCCGGGTCACTCATCTAAGGAACCGAACTCAAGCAGCAACAGTAACAGCAGCCTTAGTTCATGGGTCAAGGGGAGCAGACAGCGAGTGTCCAGCGATAGGATTAGGTGCCGTCTTCGGCTGCTAGAAACCACTGCCAACGGCCATATGTGCAGCCAATTTTGACAGGTCAACAACGCCAGCGACGTTTACAGCCCTCACACAGCAAGGGTGTCGATGGATTATCTGGCTCAGAACAACTTTAATGTTCTTCCATGGCCGTCTCGTTCCCCGGATATGGCTCCCTTTGATCATTCTGGGACAGCATTGGACGCAGGATTGCTGCATGTAGACATCCACTCACAATTGCACAGTTGGAACAGATATTGGTGTTTGGGTGGAACAACTTGCCTAAGGCATTCTTTCAGACTCTAGTGAACTCAATGAGGCGACGTTGCACGGCCGGTGTGCAAGCTCAAAGTGGCTATGTGTGCTGCTACAGAGACTGTCACTTTTCGCGTTGAGAGGTATCTCCATTTGACGGACTGTCATCAGTTTGATGCAATTCAATGTCAACAGCAACTTTCAGCTGTTAAATTGATAGTGATTTCTATAGAATAAATGATTAGACAAAATTTTGGTTGTCTTTTATTTAAAAACTTGACAAAAAGCCAGACTTGCGTTTCTTTTGCTGTTCAGTACTGATATTAAGTTGAATCTTTGATGATATGTACCAACCTGTCTGACTTTTTGATAATTTCACAATGTTGAAATATACTATTGTTGAAATAAAATGTTTTTCAAATTGGCTTTATGGGATCCAAAGGTAATGAACAATTTGCAGGTGGTATTTAATATTGCAAGACATCCAGTAATTCATTTGTATCCGTTTCATGTTCAATCTGGTCAACACAAATGAAAATTAGTTTAATATCGTTCTATACATATCTTAAACTGTGAAAGAAATCTTTGTCATGATACAAAGCAGACAGTGCACTACGAAACGGAAATGTGTAATGTCTAGAAGCACCGACTGTCAAAAAGAAAGACGCGAATATTGCAGATAAATGTGTAACTGTCTTGTTTGAAATAAGCTATCAAAAATTACGTTTTCCCGTCCACTTTCCCAGACATGAAAATAAGGTTGTAATAATAATAGCTCATGTTTTTGCACAAACATATTGTTTGTTCATATCCAGACCGCCGATCATAATTAGTACACAAGATTCACCGCAGAATGAGACCCGTCAAGATTCTGGTTAGAATTGGTCTTCAGCAACTTCTTGATGGTCGTAAGAGGTGACTGACGGGATCGGGTGGTCAGGCTCGCTGACTTGGTTGACACATGTTATGTATCTCAATTGCGTAGATCGATGCTCATGCTGTTGATCACTAGATTGTCTATCCCAAACTCGATTATTAGAGAGAGCTGCCATATAGCTTGAGTATCGCTGACTGAGGCGTTAAACAACAAACAAACAAACACCACGGGATGATACAAAGTTGTATAGAAAGGGAGACAACTCTCTGTGGTTTGCGGTTCCATTCTGTGTATATTTACAAAAAAGTAAATTCACTTGAAGCACTCGAATTTTCCACAACGTGTTTCTTTAAACCTTCATATTCAGGCCCCGAAGTTTTTCGAACTCAGGGTGGTGGGGTAGAATAGTGGTTAAAGTGTTCGCTCGTCACACCGAAGACCCGGGTTCTATTCCCCGCATGGGTACAATGTGTGAAGCCCATATTTGGTGTCCCCCGCCTTGATATTGCTGGAATATTGCTGAAAGCTGCGTAAAACTAAACTCACTCACTCACTTATTCGAACTCAATATGTCATTAAACACTTAAATATTCAGATTTCGAGGACACATATATCGGTTTACCATCAAGTCTACAAACTTCACCTACAAGATACAAATGTTTTGTAATGATCATTTGCAACCACAAAAGAACTACGAATGGCATTCTTAATAATATTTTGTAAAATATGACGAAGACAAAATCTTTTAAAAGGAAACAATCAATACCGGACCATTTTAATAATTCAAGCGAGAGTTTAAGTGGCTTTGGAATAATGCAGATGATAGTTAAAAGCAACAGCGCACTAGAATGCAGTTTTAAAACCAAAATAGAAAAAGACGTAAATATCAAGAGACTTAAATTGACAACTTTCAAACGTACATCTTATGAAAGGCAACCGTAACGCTGCCGTACCCTCTTCGCACTCTTCAAGGTTTAATAACAGCTGTTCTTACCATTCCTGGAAATAACAGACTGTAGTGCTGAGTGCTGAATCTGCATGGGTTACACAGACAATACTTTTGTCCAAGAAAGTGGCACTAATGACGTATTGAAGAAGTATTAAGGCATTAAGCTGAGTAGATGCTCAACCTAAACACAGTCTTCCTTTGACAGTGCGAATAATTGCTGATTGACTCAATTCAGCATTTAGCCTAGTTCCATGATGTGACGGCTTTGGTTATAAGTGACAATAACTAGTCAAAGGGTCGTGACCTGGTTCTGTCTCACAAATGAACGAAGGCAGTAGCTTTGTCCATTCGCAGTTACGGGGATGTTTTGTACGACTGTAATGAATCTGAATTCCTAAAATTGATTAAGATCGGGGGATGTAAATAACAAGTGAGGTCGTGACAAGGTCATCTGCGAATCGTGTGGGTGGGGGGATGTTTTGTATTCCGAATTTGGTAATACTTTGCCCCTGAATGGCATTTAGAAGTGGTACACATAAGGAAGAGAGGTTTATGGATGTCAAATTCTTTATTATGAGGAACGCAACGTTTCGGTGTATACCCTTACTCCTTCGTCAGGTAAATGTATGCTATGAGGCAGTGAGCATATATATGTATATGTAAGAACAAGAAAAAGTAATAAAACAAGTAAGATGGAGGCTTAACAATGGAAGGCAACAATTAACTGGCGTTGATGTGTGATTGGCACTCAAGGGACAAATGGTAGGCAACGCATAACAGTTCATTAGCGCTGAAAAAAACGATACTTTTGTTGTTCTTACACGTACATATATATTCTCTCTGCCTCATAGCATTAATTCGTCTGATGAGGGAGTAAGAATATAATCCGAAACGTTGTGTTCCCCATAATAAGTTGAAGTTGACATCCATAAAACTCTCTTCCTTTTGGTAATGTTTTGTCGCAATATTCCGTCGGGGGCACATTTATGGGCTTCACACATTATACAGCTTACGGGAATTGAAGCTGATATTCGGCCTGAAAACTCACCACATTTGACTCACTTGGTCTGATATACGTTTGACAACTGATTATAGGTAAATAAAACAACAACCGGTTTCTTGGCGGCCTCCATTTGAACCGGTTTTCATTTGCGGTCTGAAATATTTATATAAACTTCACTTTTGAAATATAGTGTTTTCATTGGAGGTTATAGATTTTATATTTGAAATGAATGCTGTTTTGATAAGGTCTAAATAAGAACCTCTATTTGCAGAGCTATGAGCGCATACCATTGTGGGCCATTTGCCTTGAACACAAAAAAAGGGAACTGAATATTGCCGCTGGGACATACAGGAGTGCGGTGAGGCGTATTTTGGCAGATTATTTTTATTATGGACCGATCAGCGGCGTCCACATAAAAAAAGAGATGAGGAAATACGGTATAAGCACCAAGCAAAAATGATACACCAGACAGAATTCAAACATGTGTGATAACACGGGCGAGTAAAGCCTAACGTAGACTCAGATTCATAATCACACCTACAACAACAACAACAAAACACACACACACACACACACACACACACACACACACACACACACACACACACACACACACACACACACACACACACACACACACACGAATATCAACAATCCCCTCTCCCTAAAAAACCCACAATATTGAACTACCCCCAAACAAATACAAAACAAACAACAATAACGAGATAAACAAACAAAAAAAAAGAATTCAAAACAAAGCAAAACGACCTCCAAAACGAAACAAAGCAAACAAACCAATACAAACCAATAAGAACCCTCCCCTCCAAAAAATATTAAAAATATTAAAAAACATAAAAAATAAAAAAAATTTCCCAAATCAACACCAAACAAACAACAACAACAACAACAATATGCAAACAACTGAAACAATGCTTCAGTAAACAGACACTGAAAGGGACAACTATTCTTGCGTTAAACAATAAAACCTGCCCCCATTACTCAACCACCACAGCCTTAATCCGGTGAGAGAGTTAGTATATTGCTTAACCCAAATCTACTGAAGAAAATACTTGATAAGTACCCATCAGTCCTCCCTAACCCCGCCCCCACTTCCCACGCCCACTTTTTATCTGCAGCCTTCATATGTATTAAAGGATTAAATTGATGAAATGATATTCGACCTGAAAGAAGGACACCGATTCTCACTGATGAACTAACCGGTCCCGTCGGGGGCGTGCGTGCTTCGGAAAGCAGAGAGAAAAAACAACTACAATGTTGGTGTCTGTGATGCGGAATGATGGGAGGCTCTGATCCGGGCACCCTCAGGTGCCATGGCTTTATTAACGGAAAATCATTATTTGAAAGATGAAAATACCTCCATCTCGACGCTGAATAAAAAATAGAATTGAAATTACCACAATGAGCGTGGATTTGGAATATCTTCGATACAGAAAGGGATCAGCATGTATGTTTCAATCTTTGTTTACTTGATGGAATAACCCCTGTGAATGAAATACGTGATATTTTCAAATTGATTACGAACATAGGTCTGTCCAAATAATCATAGATCGAGGAAGAGATGAGTGGACAAATAAACCGAACGCTCATCGTCAAGGTATTCGAGTCGGCTCCGAACCAAAGAATGAAGCGGACAATACTGATTAAAGAGATCATTATGGGCAAGGGAGAATTATTTATTAAACACAAGAGAGAATAAAACCGTCGTAGAACTAAAGAGATAAATTATAGGCAACTGAAGATGATGCGTCAATAGGCAAAGGGAACATAAATTAGATAAATAAGGTGGACAGAGATAAAATCCGATCCATCGTTAAAGGGAACATAAATTAAAATTGATAGATAAGTGAATCCATCGACTGAGGTGATAAATTAAAGATCCATCAGCAAAGGGAACATAAATTAGGTCTTAGACTAAGGAACCGTGCGATCATCAGTGAGATAAAACCGTCATCGACGAGGACGCAAAGTGAACAAATAGACGGACAGAGATAAAATCGTCAATAGACAAAGGAACAAATTGGGCTCCATCGTTAAAGGAGCAGTAAATTGGTCCGGCTCGACAAGGTCGATTATGGGCAGAGGTGTTTAAGCACAAGAAGATAAAGTGGAATGTCGACAAAGGGAACATGGGTAAAGACTGACGGAGATAAAGTCGTCATCGACGAAGGTCGATTATGGGCTAAGGGAGATTGAAATATGGAAGCACAAGAGATGCGTCGTCAATGGGCAG